ATCATCTACCATACAGGAGACCCAGGTTCAATCCCTGTGTGTCTCCTGTACAGCTGCCACTCATTTGTCAGTGGAGGCTTCATGTTGTTGTTATGACATAGAACAGCAAACAGTAGAGCCTGGTACCAAGACTGGTTCACTGCCATGAACCGAGTCCATTCTGACTCATGGCGACCCTAAAGAACAGGGGAGAACTGCCCCTGTGGGTTTAGCAGCCCTTCACATAGCCACGGTGCCACCAGGGCTCTTTGCATACTAAGACTGGGAAGAAAAGCCTGGCCACTTATTTCTGAAAATCAGTCCATGAAAACGCAATGAATCGCAGCCATCTGAACCATGGGGCTCGTGCAAGACTGGGCAGCATTGTGCTCCTTTGTGCATGAGTTGGATAAAAACTTGAAGTCAACTAGCGATAACGGGACAGTCTGCCATATCACGATGTGCGGACAGATATAACATGACCTAAACCAAGTTTAAAAACAAAACCAAAAAAAATTTAATGTGAAAGCATTTAAATAGGCTTGCTCTTTGTTCTTCACAACTAGTTTCTCCTACTCTTGTGTTTGCTTTACCCTGGACTGCTTCATCGATTTGCATTACCTGCCTGATGCCTATAGGACTTCCACTTGCAGCTATGAAATAGTTCCTACACTAAAAAGTGTATTTGCTGAAGTAAAATTTACCTCAATCCCTTATGAGTGTGAGTGGTGAGAATTAGAATCACTGTGCCTAGTCAACCCATGGTCCTGTAAGGGCCAGAAGTTCGGCTATGGGTAGTGACTTCAAATCAAACCCAGACCAAACCCACTGCCATCAAGTTGGTGCCGACTCCTATTGACCCCAAAGGACAGATAGAACTGTCCCTGTGGGTTTCCAAGAATAACCATTTACAGGAGAACTAAGTCTCTCTGTCTTTCTCCTGAGGAGAGAGCTGATGGTTTCAAATTTCTGATGCTGTGGTAAGCAGCACAATTAGTGACCCACAATGCCACTAGGGCTCCCTGGTAACTTCACTGTTCTATCAGCAATGTACTGTCATCCATGAGGTTTTTGTTGCTGCTGTTTTGTTTTCCTTGTTAGATTAAGGTGACCATTGGTAAAATGGTAAATGACCATTGGTAAAATGACCATTGGGACAAAAGTGGGACACCATTGATAAAACTCATATCCTGGCAAAATAGCCACATGGCAGCCAAAAACCGTATACCCTAGCTTGTTGTGCATTCTT